CCGGGTTTTGGGATATTGAACACATTTAATTGTACAGCATAAGGCATAGAAATATATTTTATTTAATGCTTATTTTATACAAAAAAGCACAGCTTTATCAGAAAGTGTGAAATATTATGCTATATAAATGAAGCTCCTTTTGTCAAACTTTTTAAAGATAGGATCTTCCAGGACAGTGGCGAATAAGATCGTTTAAAATCTATTTTATAAGTGTATTTTATCTTCCTTGGTATATTGCTGCCGTTTATATGTGCATGGCATGGTAAAATCTGTCACTTTACTCTGCATCTCAACTGCAATCTAAGGGACTACTAGAAAGTTTATCATAACAGGAATATAATAAGGAATAGTGCCATGATCGTTAGTCAATCATTGATGCTTTGATATGCGAGTCAATCATTGATGCTTTGATATGCGAGTCAATCATTGATGCTTTGATATGTGAGTCAATCATTGATGCTTTAATATGTGAGTCAATCATTGATGCTTTAATATGTGAGTCAATCAATGATGCTTTGATATGTGAGTCACTCATACATGTTCTAACCTGTGGACCATAAACTATTTTTTATAGAGTGTATGTCACTAAATTTTCATTACAGTAACTAAAGATGCACTGGCTTAGAACAAATTTCTTCCCTCCTCACAGGACCATATTATGATATAGCAGCTCGTTTATTCCCAAATCTGTCAGAATTTTTTAGCATGGTTTTCTCGCTGTTAAAATATCAAATAATCAGTCTTAAGTCAAATATTTTCAATAAGGAAGTGAGTTTGTATTATAAATGACGACTCCAATTTGACATCATTGAATATTTCAAATGTTTAAAATGTTCTAGTATTTGAAAAATTGTTTTCTTTTAAATTAGAATGTTATACATATGCTAAAGAAATGAAGACGTACAACGCCATCAAAACACAGCTCCATTTATTTGGATCAATAAAGAAATCTTTTGTTATCATCAATAGTTTGAAGAGAAAAAAAATAAAAAAATAATAAAAAATAAACAAAAATTTAAAAAGTTCGCGCTTGAAAAAACCAAACAACAAGATAGTGCTTAATCTTATTGAACTGGTGCGCACCATGCCGGAAGCTGCAAGCCTAGTAGGTTGTGAAGGTTCGACAATCCTGCGACTTTGGAGAGCCGTACTAAACCTTTAGAAACTTATTTAAAAATGGAGCCGAAGAACAGTAAGTGGTTAATCGCAGTTGAAATTTCACAATAGTTGTGGATAATCATAATACCACACAATAGTTGTGTGTAATACCAAACAATAGTTGTGTATAATATCAAAAAGAGATACCATTTTTTAATGAAAATATTTTAAATGTGGAAACAAAAATGATTTTTACCAGCAGACGACGAAGTCGAGAGAGTGCCCGCGATCGCCACGAGCAGCTTGAGCAGGGCAGGAAACAAAAGTAAGCACACGTTATCCTTGTTACGTTATTTCATTGATAAGCAGTAAAATTACGGCTGTCCTCTTCCGCGACAACAAACACTGGCCAACACTGTCCAAGAGACACTGGTAACATAGACTGGCGAACAAACAATAACGGCCAACCAACACTGGCCAACTACCACTAGCCAACACTGGTCAATACCATTTGGAACAAACACTGGCCAACGAACACTGACCAACTACGCTGGTCAACAAACACTGGCCAGCACTTAACTCCCCAAGGCCACCAACACAAAATTTGAAAGAAAAAAAAATAGCTTGGAGAGCTGAAGTAGTCTTTACTAAGGCTATGATTCTAGTTAGTAGCAGTTCTACATGTGTGTCAGTGGGTATAAACAATTATCCACCTTAACTAAATACCGACAGGGGCGAAAAAACAAAAAGCCCCTCCCCTCCCTTCTTGACAAACATCATCATTGGCGTCTTATTGTATATGTGTATATATAAATAGTCTTTAAATTTTATTTTATTAAAGTGGAAAACCTGAACAAAATAAACAATAGTGAAGTGCATTATATATTGGACAGTGAAACAAAAATTCAAATAGTAGGAGACATAACAATGGAGTCACTGTATTGTTGTCACTGTTTTTGGTGTCACAGTGTTGGTGTCACTGTTTTTTTGTTTTGTTTTTTTTTTTTTGTGGCGTCAAAAGAGAGGTAGACACATTGCGTCATCCAGGGCCGTCTTAACAGAATGGGTTGAGGGAGTGGGGGGGGGCGCTAATCCTCTCTAGCCTACTCAAGTATTGTTAGGAAAAGCATCTAAGGCCCAGAGTTTACTGTAGACAATTTCATTGTTGGTGGAATGGAGCTTTTTCAGGTTTTCGGTAAATAGGGAGACAGGGTATCTAATCAGCACCAATATCAGGCATAAAAAATGTCGCTCGGCGCCAACTCTGACTTCGTGGATCCAGCCATAAATAAAGATGATTCCATTTCGGGTGTAGCGACCCCTAAGGGTATGCTGTTGGCCGTAGCTTAGTTTCGCCCCTGAAATATATATATATATATATATAT